GGAGTGCCCGGGGTTTTTGCCAGACACCTTCGCCACCACTCATCCACGTGGAGCTTGCCTTCTGCAAGCTTCTTCGCGACCTCGATCGGAGGCCCGAACCCAGACTGAGTACAAGCCCCACCTGCCGACCCTCTTCTAGCCAATCTTAACTTCATTAAATTGGCATCCCCCTTTCTTGGCTATTGCATCTTGCAATTCCAACTCGCCAACCGACTCGTCGATTCCCGAGATCCTCACATCTACGGTTTTCACGGGCCGCGTCACCTTCATCTTCTCGCCGAACAAAGTCCCCAGCTTCACGGCCAGGGCGTCGGCTGTGGAGCCGCTGTTCGCCCCAGGGAGCTCCAGCACTGTGGCCCCCGTTGCCGCCTTGCGGACTCTGAGGGTCTCCAGACCCGTTATCTCCGAAGATCAATCTTAGATCTCGCGATGAGCAAAGCTTTCTGATAAGTCAGCATCGCCTTCTCCTTTCCCTCGTCCGTGAGGGTGAGGACTATTGCCGACGACCGGGGAGTCCTGAGCTTCGGCTTTGCCTTAGCCTTGGGACTCTTCTTGGCTTTGGTTGCCTTCCCCGGTTGCGGTTGCGGATGCGACTTCTCCTTTGTCTTCTTCCTTTTGACCACCGTGGCCCAGGTTTCTTCCAGAGAGTCTGGGTTCGGCGGCCTCGGGTCCTCCTTGTTTTTTGCCTTCTTGGCTTTCTTCTTTTCCTTTTCGGGTCCAGGTGCCACAACAGTCGCTACGGGAGTAGCTTGGTGCCACCGTCTCCTTTTCCTTTCCTCCTTCTGTCTGCCGCCAACGGGGGCCGAAGCAACGGCGCTGGGTTGAGCCGGGGCTCTAATCCCTCGATGCGGGCATTCATCTTGTCCCCTAACTTTTGCAGGAGACTTGCCTCCAACTCTTCCATGCTTGGGGATCCAGAAGACTTCTGCAGGTTTTCTACCTTCCTGGTAAGCTCTTCTAGCTTCTCTCTTAGGCGCTGGTTCTCGGCGCTCAGGACCCTCGTCTCCTCGCAGACAGTTCTCTGAATGAGAACCATCGTGTTGTCCCTAATCGCCGAGACCGCATCCTTCAGGGCGCGGACGAAGGTGCCCTTCAAGTTTCCGGACCCCTTTGCCACGCTCTCTATAACTCCTAGGCTAGTTTCGATGCCTCTCTTCGCGTCCAAGGCAGAACGGGGCATCGAGCCACTGATGCCCGCAATGTCTCCCTCGTCCCACTGCATCGACGACACGGATGATGCGCGCGTCGATCTCATGTCCGAGGTGGACGCCAAGAGCTCCGCTTCTGCTTGGAGCTTCATCTCTTCCCTTTTGGCCTTCACTAAGGCCTGTTTCGCCGCTGCCAATCCGACGTATTCGCCGGTTGTCGGTGGGCGACCTCTTCTTCTTGGCTTCGACGAATCTGGCGCCTCGCTCCCACTACCACTCGATGCACCAGATCGACTCCGCTTTCGCGCTGACCTCGGTCCGAAGTAGCGCCTCTTCCCCGCCGTGTCGCAACTCGACACTGTCTCCATAGACCCTTCAGACGAGTCCGAGAGCCTACCATACTCCTCCTCAATGGCCGCACAAGATCGAGCGGCGGCCGCTACGGATGAACTTGGTGAAGAGCAAAGACGCTCCAACACCACTTTCGCATCCGAATATCTCCACTCTCTACCATGGGGGTTGCCGGCCTCCAGAATACGATCCGGCTTAACCGCCGCCCCTTCACCATTGCTGGATCCAGAGCGACGGGTGGGATTTGACCCACCTGGAGTAGATTTACTTTTCGTAGGTGCCTCCATGTTGTTTTTTTTTGTTTGGTGCCTTAGGGGCTGGACTCCCACCAGCCATTCATCCCCTCGCCAGGCACCACAGACTTAGGATTGGGGGTGCGCTGCCTATGTCAGCGCACCTCGCGGACAACGAGCCCGCCATCCTCCGTGCCGAAGCACCACTTTCGGTTCGCAACCGCTAACAGCGGCAGAGAACCGATCTCCACCGTACTATATACAATTTAATATTTACAAAGTAAAAATAAAATAAAATATATACATGGGTGAGAAGCACCCTCTCCTAAAACACTATATACAAAAATAATATGTGCAAAAACTTACCTAGTTCTTCCGCCCTGCTCGACCAGTCCCGAAGCAATGTCCAGGGGGTCGAGTCCCGCCGCAGGCCCAGGCTCCCGTCCCGTTACAGGCTCAGGCTCCCGTTCCGCAGCAGGCCATCCTCTTCGTCGGCTGTGCCGACTTGTGGGCGTTAAAGCCGACTTCTCGGTGCGACGACGGGGGGTAACACCCCCTAACCGGAGGCTATGAGCCATTCCCGGCCCGCCGCCGCTGTGTGCATGGCGCAGACGGGAGACGTGAAACGGTCCGACCCTGACGGCGTAGACGTATCATTTGCCATCGAGGGCCCGCCGCGCCATATCCTCGCACACCCGACCCAGGGCGAAAAGCGCCCCGGGCCCGCGCCATAGGACGCCCTCCCTCGCGCTTCACTGCGCATCGCGGTCTGAAGGACCGCGATAAAACAAAACTTCGTCTTCCCCACCCACCACGAAAAACGCGGTTGGCAAGGAACGCCGAAGATGTAGCAAGCCATACAGAGCAATATACAATATTGCAGAGTATCGCCCGCCTCCCAGTTAGCGACCACCGAGTCTGCAGGATACGCACCGGTCATCACAAAGTTAACAAACTTTGCCATAGCCGATACCACCCTAACTCAGATGGCCGGGCCCTTCCGGCACGACAAGCCCTGGGGCTGCACGAGATACTCAAAGTGCAGTGGAAGGGGAACCTAACCCTAACCTAACCTAACCTAACCTAACCTAACCTTTTTTTTTTTTTTTTTTTTTTACTTGGAGGAATCGAGTCTTTACCGACGCCCCCGCCGGGCCAAGTGCAATGGCGGGGGGAGTGTGGGGGTCAACCGCTAGTCGGCCACTACCCACTAAACCATCCAAGAGCCCTTCTGCCACTGCTCTGTTCGGTCAAGGGGCTGGTATCAGCTAAGCCTTTGCCCAGCCCCGAGCCGAGGGCAGATGTCGCACAGCTTGCGCGCGCGTATCGCCGTCTTGGCCTTCTTCTGCCTATGTTTCCATAGGAGCCCCTGTTGGAGGGGCCTTGGCCCCATTCGTGGGGTCCTTTTTGCGCGCCCTTTTGGGAGGCGCTTTACACTTAGCGCCACCCAATTTATGCTTCGCGTCCTTGCCGGCTGCAGCGCATATTGCGCAATGTGGCTCGGCCGTGCAGGACGCGGCGACGTGGTCGGGCTGGCTACATCGGTAGCACAGCCGACTACGGTCACATTCTGTGACACAGCGGTCCGCGATGTGTCCGCTCTCCAAACATTTGTAGCAGCGGAGTGCCCGGGGTTTTGCCACAGTCACTTTTGCCACCACCCATCCGACGAGGAGCTTGCCTTCTGCAAGCTTCTTTGCGACTTCGATAGAAGCCCGTACCCAGACTGAATACAGACCCCACCTGCCGACCCTCTTTTGGCCAATCTTTACTTCATTAAATTGGCATCCTCCTTTCTTGGCTATTGCATCTTGCAATTCCAACTCGCCGACCGACTCGTCGATTCCCGAGATCCTCACATCTACGGTTTTCACGGGCCGCGTCACCTTCATCTTCTCGCCGAACAAAGTCCCCAGCTTTTCAGCCAGAGCGTCGGCTTTGGAGCCGCTGTTCGCCCCAGGGAGCTCCAGCACTGTGGCCCCCGTTGCCGCCTTGCGGACTCTGAGGGTCTCCAGACCCGTGATCTCCTTCAGATCTATCTTAGACCTCGCGATGAGCAGGGCCTTCTGATAGTTCAGCATCGCCTTCTCCTTTCCCACGTCCGTGAGGGTGAGGACTATTGCCGACGACCGGGGAGTCTTGAGTTTAGGCTTCGCCTTAGCCTTGGGACTCTTCTTGGCATTAGGTGCCTTTCCCGGTGCCGGTTGCGGATGCGACTTTTCCTTCTTCTTCTTCTTCTTTTTGACCACCGTGGCCCAGGTTTCCTCCAGAGAGTCTGGGTTCGGCGGCCTTGGATCCTCCTTGTTACTCTTCGCCTTAGTAATCTTCTTCATTTCCTTTTCAGGCTGAGGGTCAGTCTTCTTTTCCCTTCTCTTCTTGTCAGCCGCCAGCGGAGGCCGAAGCAACGGCGCAGGGTTGAGCCTCGGCTCGAGCCCCTCAATGCGGGCATTCACCCTGTCTCCCAGCTTACGTAGGATGCTCGCCTCTAACTCCTCCATGTTTGGAGGTCCGGAAGACTTCTGCAGCTTCTCTACTTTCTGCGTGAGCTCTTCTAGCTTCTCCCTCAGTTGCTGGTTCTCGGCGCTCAGGACCCTCGTCTCCTCACTAATGGTTCTCTGGATGAGAACCTGCGAGTTGTCCCTAATCGCCGAGACCGCTTTCTTCAATGCGTAGACGAAAGTTCCTTTGAGATTTCCAGATCTCTTCGCTACGCCTTCTATCACCTGTAAGCTCGCCTCGATGCCTCTGCGAGCATCCAAGGCCGAGCGACTAGCCGGTTCACCGGTGTCCACGATGTCCGCTTCATCCCATTGCATCGAAGACACCGACGATGCACGCGTTGACCTCAGCTCCGATGCGGAAGCCGCAAGTTCGGCCTCAGCCTGGAGCCTTATCTCTTCTCTTCTAGCCTTCACTAAGGCCTGCTTCGCCGCAGCCAGTCCGACGTACTCGCCGGTTGTCGGTGGGCGACCTCTCCCTCTCGGCTTCGACGATTCTGGCGCCTCGCTCCCACTACCACTCGATGCACCAGATCGACTCCGCTTTCGCGCTGACCTCGGTCCGAAGTAGCGCCTCTTCCCCGCAGTGTCGCAACTCGACACCGTCTCCATAGACCCTTCGGACGAGTCCGAGAGCCTACCATACTCCTCCTCAATGGCCGCACAAGATCGAGCGGCGGCCGCTACGGATGGACTTGGTGAAGAGCAAAGACGCTCCAACACCACTTTCGCATCCGAATATCTCCACTCTCTACCATGGGGGTTGCCGGCCTCCAGAATACGATCCGGCTTAACCGCCGCCCCTTCACCATTGCTGGATCCAGAGCGACGGGTGGGATTTGACCCACCTGGAGTAGTTTTGTACTTCGTAGAATCCTCCATGTTTTGTTTTTTTGTTGGTGCCTTAGGGGCTGGACTCCCACCAGCCATTCATCCCCTCGCCAGGCACCACAGACTTAGGATTGGGGGTGCGCTGCCTATGTCAGCGCACCTCGCGGACAACGAGCCCGCCATCCTCCGTGCCGAAGCACCACTTTCGGTTCGCAACCGCCTAACAGCGGCAGAGAACCGATCTCCGCCTTAAAACTATATACAGTATTTACAAAAATAAATAAAAATATATAGAGGGGTGAGACGCACCCTCTCCAAAACACTAACTACAAAAATAATATGTGCAAAAAACTTACCCTACCAGCAAGCTCCTTCCACCCTGCTCGACCGGTCCCAGAGCAATGTCCAGGGGGTCGAGTCCCGCCGCAGGCCCAGGCTCCCGTCCCGTAACAGGCTCGGGCTCCCGCTCCGCAGCAGGCCATCCTCTTCGTCGGCTGAGCCGACTTGTGGGCGTAAAAGCCGACATCTCGGTGCGACGGCGGGGGGTAACAACCCCTAACCGGAGGCTATGAGCCATTCCCGGCCCGCCGCCGCTGTGTGCATGGCGCAGACGGGAGACGTGAAACGGTCCGACCCTGACGGCGTAGACGTATCATTTGCCATCGAGGGCCCGCCGCGCCATATACTCGCACACCCGACCCAGGGCGAAAAGCGCCCCGGGCCCGCGCCATAGGACGCCCTTCCTCGCGCTTCACTGCGCATCGCGATCTGAAGGATCACGATAAACAAAAACTTCGTCTTCCCCACCCACCACGAAAAACGCGGTTGGCAAGGAACGCCGAAGATGTAGCAAGCCATACAGAGCAATATACAATATTGCAGAGTATCGCCCGCCTCCCAGTTAGCGACCACCGAGTATGCAGGATACGCACCGGTCATCACAAAGTTAACAAACTTTGCCATAGCCGATACCACCCTAACTCAGATGGCCGGGCCCCCCCGGCAACGACAAGCCCTGGGGCTGCACGAGATACTCAAAGTGCAGTGGGGGGGGGGGGGGAACCTTTTTTTTTTTTTTTTTTTTTTTTTTTTTTTACTTGGAGGAATCGAATCTTTACCGACGCCCCCGCCGGGCCAAGTGCAATGGCGGGGGGAGTGTGGGGGTCGACCCTAATGGCCACTACCCACTAAACCATCCAAGAGCCCGTCTGCCACTGCTCTGTTCGGTCAAGGGGCTGGTATCAGCTAAGCCTTTGCCCAGCCCCGAGCCGAGGGCAGATGTCGCACAGCTTGCGCGCGCGTATCGCCGTCTTGGCCTTCTTCTGCCTATGTTTCCATAGGAGCCCCTGTTGGAGGGGCCTTGGCCCCATTCGTGGGGTCCTTTTTGCGCGCCCTTTTGGGAGGCGCTTTACACTTAGCGCCACCCAACTTGTGCTTCGCGTCCTTGCCGGCTGCAGCGCATATGGCGCAATGTGGCTCGGCCGTGCAGGACGCGGCGACATGGTCGGGCTGGCTACATCGGTAGCACAGCCGACTACGGTCACATTCTGTGACACAGCGGCCCGCGATGTGTCCGCTCTCCAAACACTTGTAGCAGCGGAGTGCCCGGGGTTTTGCCACAGTCACCTTTGCCACCACCCATCCGACGAGGAGCTTGCCTTCTGCAAGCTTCTTTGCGACTTCGATAGGAGCCCGTACCCAGACTGAATACAGACCCCACCTGCCGACCCTCTTTTGGCCAATCTTTACTTCATTAAATTGGCATCCTCCTTTCTTGGCTATTGCATCTTGCAATTCCAACTCGCCGACCGACTCGTCGATTCCCGAGATCCTCACATCTACGGTCTTCACGGGCCGCGTCACCTTCATCTTCTTGCCGAACAATGTCCCCAACTTTTCAGCCAGGGCATCGGCTTTGGAGCCGCTGTTCGCCCCAGGGATCTCCAGTACTGTGGCCCCCGTTGCCGCCTTGCGGACTCTGAGGGTCTCAAGACCCGTAATCTCCTTGAGATCTATCTTCGACCTCGCGATGAGCAGGGCCTTCTGATAGGTCAGCATCGCCTTCTCCTTTCCCTCGTCCGTGAGGGTGAGGACTATTGCCGACGACCGGGGAGTCTTAAGTTTTGGCTTCGCCTTAGCCTTTGGACTCTTCTTGGCATTGGGTGCCTTTCCCGGTGCCGGTTGCGGATGCGACTTTTCCGTCTTCTTCTTCCTTTTGACCACTGAAGCCCAGTTCTCCTCCAGAGAGTCTGGGTTCGGCGGCCGAGGATCCTCCTTATTTTTCGCCTTCTTGGCCTTCTTCTTTTCCTTTTCGGGTCCAGGTGCCACAACATTTGCTACGGAAGTAGCAGGTGCCACCGTCTCCTTTTCCTTTCTCCTTCTTGTCTGCCGCCAACGGGGGCCGAAGCAACGGCGCTGGGTTGAGCCGAGGTTCTAATCCCTCGATGCGGGCATTCATCCTGTCTCCCAGCTTTCGCAGGAGACTAGCCTCTAACTCCTCCATGTTTGGGGATCCAGAAGACCTCTGCAGGTTTTCTACCTTCCGGGTGAGCTCTTCTAGCTTCTCTCTTAGGCGCTGGTTCTCGGCGCTCAGGACCCTCGTCTCCTCACAGACAGTTCTCTGAATGAGAACCATCGAGTTGTCCCTAATCGCCGAGACCGCATCCTTCAGGGCGCGAACGAAGGTGCCCTTCAGGTTTCCGGACCCCTTTGCTACGCTCTCTATGACTCCCAGGCTGGCTTCAATGCCTCTCTTCGCGTCAAGAGCAGAACGGGGCATCGAACCACTGAGGCCCGCAATATCTCCCTCGTCCCACTGCATCGACGACACGGATGATGCGCGCGTCGACCTCATCTCCGATGTGGAGGCCATGAGTTCCGCTTCCGCCTGAAGCTTCATCTCCTCCCTTTGTGCCTTAACTAGGGCCTGTTTCGCCGCTGCCAGTCCGACGTACTCGCCGGTTGTCGGCGGGCGACCTCTTCCTCTCGGCTTTGACGGTTCTGGCGCCTCACTTCCACTCCCACTGGAAGCACCAGACCGACTTCGCTTCCGCGCCGAGCGCGGTCCGCGGTAGCGCTTCTTCCCTCCTGTGTCGCAACTCGACACCGTCTCCATGGACTCCACGGACGAGTCCGAGAGCCCACCAAACTCTTCTTCTAAGGCCGCGTAGGATTGAGCGGCGGCCGCTATAGATGGACTTGGAGAATCGCATAAGCGCTCCAACACCACTCTCGCACTAGAATATCTCCACTCTCTACCATGGGGGTTGCCGGCCTCCAGAGTACGATCCGGCTTAACCGCCGCCCCTTCACCATTGCTGGATCCAGAGCGACGGGTGGGATTTGACCCACCTGGAGTAGGTTTACTTTTCGTAGGTGCCTCCATGTTGTTTTTTGTTGTTTGGTGCCTTAGGGGCTGGACTCCCACCAGCCATTCATCCCCTCGCCAGGCACCACAGACTTAGGATTGGGGGTGCGCTGCCTATGTCAGCGCACCTCGCGGACAACGAGCCCGCCATCCTCCGTGCCGAAACACCACTTTCGGTTCGCAACCGCTAACAGCGGCAGAGAACCGATCTCCGCCTTAAAACTATATAAAAATATTTACAAGGAAATAAAAATATATACACGGGTGAGAAGCACCCTCTTCTACAATAATATTAACAAAAATAAAATAATCTGTGCAATGACTTACCCAGCTCTTCCTCCCTGCTCGACAGGTCCCGGAGCAAAGTCCAGGGGTCGAGTCCCGCTGCCAGTCCAGGCTCCCGTCCCGTTGAAGGTTCAGGCTCCCGTCCCGCAGCAGGTCATCCTCTTCATCGGCTGTGCCGACTTGTGGGCTTATAGCCGACTTCTCGGTGCGACGACGGGGGGTAACAACCCCGAACCGGAGGCTATGAGCCATTCCCGGCCCGCCGCCGCTGTGTGCATGGCGCAGACGGGAGACGTGAAACGGTCCGACCCTGACAGCGTAGACGTATCATTTGCCGTCGAGGGCCCGCCGCGCCATGTACTCGCACACACGACCCAGGGCGAAAAGCGCCCCGGGCCCGCGCCATAGGACGCCCTTCCTCGCGCTTCACTGCGCATCGCGGTCTGAAGGACCGCGATAAACAAAACTTCGTCTTCCCCACCCACCACGAAAAAACGCGGTTGGCAAGGAACGCCGAAGATGTAGCAAGCCATACAGAGCAATATACAATATTGCAGAGTATCGCCCGCCTCCCAGTTAGCGACCACCGAGTCTGCAGGATACGCACCGGTCATCACAAAGTTAACAAACTTTGCCATAGCCGATACCACCCTAACTCAGATGGCCGGGCCCCCCCGGCAACGACAAGCCCTGGGGCTGCACGAGATACTCAAAGTGCAGTGGGGGGGGAACCTAACCTAACCTAACCTAACCAGTCGCAACTTAACCGCCGCCCGGAACACACGTACCCCGAGTCGCTCTCCGCGTAACAATTATTCAAAATTTATTTTGAATTTTTCCCTCTCGTAGTCACAAGTTCTTCGAATATTTAAGTGTTTTCTCGCAGTTAAATATCATTAAATAGTGTATTCATAGTGTGCAAATATAAATACAACATATCTGCAACGAATATATTGTGCATTGAGTTTTCCTGCGTTTAAATTTACTAAAGTGAGTGTCGAAGTTCTACTGCTTCTGCTGTGCCTGTTTGCGCCCTACGTTACTTACTTACGACATCATCACCATCACGACACCTTCCTTGGTTGGGTCTGCTGTGTAACGTAGGAGTGACGCTCTAGGCTCTCTCCGAACATCTCCGAACAGTTAGTGTATAGTTTAAAAAAATTGTGTAATTTCTCTAACCTATATATAAACCCATATATATATATATAGTCGAACAGACAAGGTACCGTAAACTTCATTTTTACTTTATACATCTACTTTACTCAATCATTTATCATTATTTCTTCTTTTTCTAAGTTCTACTCAATTCAGCTTCATTAAATATAGCTAGCAATCTCTGTTCGATTACATATATTTTTCTGTGTGTATACATTGTGTATATCAAGCAGACTGACCAGGAAAAAACCGCATTGATAATTCTTTCTTATCATCCTCATTTATTTGCTAATTAAATCAAAATCTTACTCTTTCATCTTTTGCTGTCAGACGTTATTTGAACTTCATTATCTATAATCTTTATCTTTAAAATCAAGTTAAACGCGTAGATTATTTACCAACCTGGAAATAAGTCTGTTCTGGTATACATATTGTATGTAAGATATACTTTAGGCAGTAGTTTTGAAAAATTTTTCTGTTGTTCTGGTGCATTTTTTATAATATTGTATCAGAGATATATAGGCATACATATATATCGAACAGATCAGGTACCGTAAAATCATTTCTATCTAATTTTTTTTTTTTTTTTTTTTTTTTTTCTATTTCATCATCTTTGCATTTTTCCTATTCACAAATTCAAGTAAAAAGATTAAGACTCCAATCGACTTACATTCATTCTCTCGTAAAACCTACATATATTACATTATTCTTTTCCAATTCACTTACTTTTACTTGTATAACGATAAAAAGTTAAACATACGTTTCATATACCAAATATAAATAAATAGAGTTCTATAATCGCGAAAAACGCGCATAATAAGTTAACAATTCTGTTCGAATATATGTACCGTATGTGTATCTCCGTATTTTTCCGGTATATATAGAACACACTAGTCACCGCACCGTTAATCGTATCTTTCTTTTGTCATATACTATTCCTCCACTAAATTCAAGCATTCTATTCATAATTCTGGTATTAGAAGTCCTCAATTTATCTAAATTCAACCAATTCTTACCTTAACTTTTTTACATATAATAATAAATTAGAAAAGTCTGTTCGGATATATACGTCACCACTCAACGGATTAGATATCATACGGCGCCGCTCGCAGCAAATCTAAAAGAAAACCTCATATTTTAATATTACATTTCTCGACTAATAACGCTCTCTACATAAGTTTTCAATCTTAAAAAACAAAAGCCCCCAACCTAATAAATAAATAAATACACTTTAATATTGCAATATTCTATCAATTTATTTGATACTAAATAAACCCTCTAATAGATAATAGATAGATACCTAATAGATTTTTAACAAAAAGTACTTTCTATAAATATTCCGTATTCTTAAAAAATATAATAACAAAACGCGAAAAGCGTGTCCCTTTTAGTCATAACAATCATAGTTCTTCTCATCTAGGTCCCTTTGTTTTCACCTCCAGGTAAAATATATCTAATCTTAGCAGCTGCGCGCATAAACAATTATCATTACAAAACAAAAGTCATAAAAATTTGTTCAAACTTAAGCCCTTCAATCATAAAACAATAGAGTCAATACAAACAGCTCAACATACTATCTGTAAAACATAATCCCTCAACTTACCCAACTCATTAGCGCCCTTTGTTCATAGGCTCAGGTAAAATAACTTATCATACCAGCTGCGCTTCAAACAATAGAAAGTCTAAACAATAAATAGCTTAATCCCCCAAGTCATCTTCTAACTCATTAGCGTTCTTTGTTCTCGCGTCCAGGCAAAATATCTTATCGAAGCAGCTGCGCTCAAAACAATTAAAACTCATAATAAACGTCAAGTTAATCCCCTAAGTAGTAGTACAGATAATAATTAAATCCATATTCCGTGCTTTTGTTAGAATTATCTATTGTTGTATCACTAAGGCTCACTTTTAATATACTTTGAGATATATATATTTATATATTTCTTTTTTTTTTTTCTCTTTCTCTCTCTTTCCTTTCTCTCCACTTGTCACAAATAAAACAGCAATATGCTAGGTATCAGGACCCCCGTCAAGAGCAAAGACTCTGCCCCTAAGGCCTCTCTAGAATTATCTCCATCCCTCACCCCAGAGGAGCCCGCGCCCGCGCCTAGTCCTAAAACGCAGCGTCTTATAAATTCAAACCAGACCACCCACACCGAAGCAAAAATGTGGCTAGACAAAGCCAAAGAAGCACTTGGGAACTCGCGAAACCTTAAAACGGAACTAAAAATCATTATAGAACGATCGGTTAATAATCTTTATAAAATCGCAACCACTAACTCACCTGTAAAATCTCCTGCTTCGTCGCCCCCTCTTCTTCCATCGCCCCCCTCAATTGCTCCTCCAGCTGCACCTACCACCGCCCCTGTTCTAGCCGCACCTACTGCTACTCCTTTCTCAGCTCCTCCGCCTTCATTCGACATTTGGGATAAGAAAATCAAAGAGCATACAAAATTACTTGAGCAAAACACCGATAGCATCCACAAATTAATTAACAAAATGAACAACCTCAACAACAAAACCGAAAACTCGCCCCTCCCGACACACACACCCCCATTATATGCCGACATAGCATCGAGACCCAAACCGCCCACAGGCTCCTCACTTGTCATAAGTGGGGAACCAAACACCACCCCAGAGACCCTAGTAGAGAACATGCGCAAGGGCATAGACTTTCGAAAGGGAGGATACGCTCCGTTGAGCATCAAGCCCCTTTCAAAAGGAAAAGTACGCGTTACTTTCGAGAGTGACGAACATAGGCAGGACGCTATAAAGCAACTCTCCCAATCGCGCAGCACCCTCAAAGCGGAAGAAGAGAAGAGATATAACCCCCTTATCTGCCTTAAAGGCATATCTAAAACCACCCCAGAGGAGGAAGTCATCGAAATGATCAAAGAACAAAATCCTAACCTCAAAGACGCCCAACTAAAAATTAAATTTCATCGGAATAATCGGAACGACAAACTCTACAACCTCGTACTCACAACATCCCCAGCTACTTGGCGCACTCTCGTTGACATGGGTCGCGTCTCTATTTCTCACCAGCGGGTCCACTGCTGCAACTTCTCACCATTCTTACAATGCAGGAACTGCTTAGGCTTCGGCCATACCAAAAACCGCTGCCCGGCTAGCGTTGCCACCTGCGCGAAATGCGCTCAAACCCACCCCACTCGAGAGTGCCCCAAGGAGGCTGCCGAAGTTCCCACCTGCGCCAACTGCCACGAACACAACCAGCAACACAAAACAACAAACCCCACAACCCACCGCGCTGACAGCGGACGCTGCCCCAAGGTCGTAGCAATGCAAGCCCGTGTCGAGGCTAAAATAAACTATGCCTAGAGTAATTAATAGATTACAGTTCTCCCAAGCGAACCTCGACAGGTCTCGCAACGCTTTGCATGAACTTCAGGTACACTTGCACAACACGGACACAGACATAGCATTAATTTCAGAACCATACATCGGTAACTCAAAACATGTCAAGAACATACAAGGCTTTAACGTTTTTCAGGCTGATGGCGCCACGAAAGTACGGGCCTGTATCTTGGCCAAAACACACATTCACGCGATCACGCTCACACAATTCACAACGGACGACCTTTGCATCATTTCCATTCCCGCGAAAAATTATAACATATACGTAGTCTCGATTTACATTGAACCGCGCACGGATACAAATAATATACTAAATAAACTAGACCAATTTTTACACACGCACAACGGCTCACACGTAATAATAGGCGGCGATTTTAACGGATGGCACAGCACTTGGGGCAGTTCCGCTGACAACCCACGAGGAGCAGAAGTAGCTGACTTCATATTAACCCATGACCTTCAGTTAGGAAACGTAGGCCAAACCCCCACATTTCAAACGATTACGCACGGACAGAAACGCAACTCTATTATAGACTTAACGCTCTATTCCCCCAATCTCATTAGCAAAATAAACGACTGGCGAGTACACCCGGGACACTTTCCATCCACACAACACAACCACATTACATTCGCAATTAATCTTACACAATCTCCTGCGCTCACTAAAAATACTTACAGCACATTCTTATACCAAACAAACAAAGGTAACTGGCATTCATTTAAAGAACACCTCCACACCAAAATCTTTAATTCAGGAATCCTAGACAAAAATATAGAGACATTAACGTCCACACAATTAGAGCAAACCATCATTACCCTCACCGAAATTATAAACGATGCCAGCACCCAAACTTTTCCCATAAGAAATAACAGAATCAAACCCAGGCCTCCGTGGTGGTCGGATGAATTACAGTCCTTGAAAGAGGAATGCATCCGACTCCACCGGCGCTTGCATAACTCACGCGGACGCCCTCCCGACCCAAACATCTTAGATGAATACAAAACCCTAAAAGAAAACTACGCAGACAAACTTAAACAGACCTCAACAGAAAGCTTTAGATCATTTTGCTCCCTCCAAACAAAAGAAAATGTCTGGTCACTGACAAACAGACTATTAAAATCACGAGGATTCAACCCACCACCTCAAACGTTACGCAGGAAAAATAACACGTACACCACCACGGCACAAGAAACCGCGCAGGAATTGCTTAAACACTTTTACCCAGACGACGGGCCCGACACCGATTCTACACATATTCAAACTCGCGTCACGTCGAACAATATACCCAACACCCAAGATGACCCAGAATTTAGCCAGGAAGAGGTTCTAGAGACCCTCCGTCAAATGAACCCTAATAAGGCTCCAGGCCACGACCACCTTACGAGCGACATATGCTCGATGGTTGCAAGCCAATATCCTGGATTAATCACTAACATACTGAACCGATGTCTTTCACTAGCATATTTCCCAAGTACATGGAAGAAAACCATTGTAAAAGTCATCCCTAAACCCTCAAAAACCCACTACACCGATCTATCAGCCTATCGCCCAATTGGTCTTATACCAGTATTTGGAAAAACGCTAGAAAAACTCTTTACTAAACGGCTCGTATACTCGTCACAGCGGCAAAAAACACTCAACACTGAACAATACGGATTCACCCAACAAACAGGTACAACACAAGCCATTCTCTCGATAATTAATAAAGTCAAAGCAGCTAAGCAAAAACATCAAGAAGTATCAGTAGTTTCACTCGATATAAAGGCGGCATTCGATAACGCGTGGTGGCCAGCTATCCTTAGCGGTCTTAGGGACGTCGGATGCCCCCTAAATATATATAAACTTATTAATAATTATCTCTCGGACCGCACCGTCAATTTAACAATAGGCGAACACACTACCAGCAAAACCAATAACAAAGGCTGTATACAGGGTTCGGCATGTGGACCCGTTCTATGGAATATTCTGATCAATAAATTACTCAACACCAGATTTCCGCCCGGGTGCCACCTACAAGCTTTCGCAGACGACGTAGTGCTGCTGGCCACAGCATCAGACACAGACACTCTACAACGAATCACGAACACTTCACTAGATACCATCTTTCAATGGGGTAAAAGCGTAAAATTAGAATTCGGTCCAGAGAAAACACAATTAATTCACTTTTCAAATAAAGCCCAAAAAACCCAAATTAAAATAAACAATATTACGTTAAAACCGGTAGAAACAATAAAATACTTAGGTGTCATTATTGACCGCAGACTGACATTTAAAAATCACATAAACTACATCATTCAAAAATCACAAAACTTATTTAACAAACTTTGCAATTTTATAAGACCCACTTGGGGCATACACTCTGATAACATAAAAACAATATACCATATGGTCATAGTCCCAACCATCACATACGCCGCGGGAGTCTGGGGCGACTCCGTAAATATAAAAACCTACAAAAACAAAATCCTCTCATTACAGCGAATGTTTGCAATCAAAGCCATCCGCGGATTCCGTACCATCTCCCTAAACGCAGCCCTCGCGCTCGCAGAATTTCTTCCATTAGACATAAAAATAAATGAAATCCAATGCATCGAAAAAGCCCGCGTCGAGCACCAAACTCACTTAATTCCATCCGACATCCCCATCGAGACACCCACACACCCCTCACAACTCTTACACCCCTCGGTTCGCACAGGCATAAGACACACAACATATAAAAACAACCTACACAAACACATCAAACCCGCGCCCCACGACATATACACAGACGGAAGCAAACAAGAGAACGGAGAAACTGGAGCAGCATTCATTGTCCACTCGCCTAACACACACTTAACCATACACACATCAAAAATTAAACTCCACCCCACGAGTAGCATTTTTCAAGCCGAACTCCTCGCTATTAAAGAGGCATGCAAATGGGCAACTAAAAATAATACCAGCTGCATCATACATTCGGACTCACGATCGGCACTGACGGCATTAGAACAAATATCCAATACCCACCCATTAGTTAGCAGCATACACCGGATATTACACCAAAACAAGCACACACAGATACAGTTCAAATGGGTTCGAGCCCATACCGGTATTGTAGGTAATGAGAAAGCAGATGCCGCTGCTAAAGCAGCTTCCAAAGCCCATAAGGCCCCTGATTTCATTAGTTGCCCCTTATCACATATAAAACACATTGCACGATTAAAATCCTACACCACTTGGGAAAAGAGGTACTTGGAGGAGCCCACGGGGGCAAGAACCAGGTCTCTCCTACCATCACTTAAAGACATACACAAACTAAACACGACACTTCCGGTTTCTTTCCACCTCACTCAGTTCGTCACAGGGCACTCGTACACAAAACAATACTTACACAGATTTAATATCACCTCAGATGACAAATGCCCCTGTGACAACACTAGCATCCAAACATTTACACACCTTATAAATGACTGCTCCAGGTTCTCCTCACAAAGGCACGATTGCCTACAGGCACAAGTCAGGAACAAAACACCAGACACCTTCACACTAAAAGACTCTCTCCTAAACAGAGCTGCGATCGACGCCATCGATAAATTTATTAAATATATAGTTAATAACTTAAAATTGTTCAATAAAACTTAAATATAACCAATAAATTTCTCCCATTGTAAAAAGTTAAAATCCCTAACTGTAATAACCTCACAGCAAGCAACTTAGCATTGTATAACCTTATATATATATGCAAATACTTTGTTTGTATAAATATAAGAAAATTATGTATGAATGTCACAAATTGGATTGTATAATAAAGCTCTCAATTATATAAATATAGAATGTAAGTTAAACAATGTTAATGTATAGCTTGTAGACACTAAGAAAAACTTGATTTGTATAGCGACTCTAATTCTAAGAAACCACATTTTGTAAATACCCAGTGTAAAAGGAACTTTGTGGAAAGACTGTATCCAATAGCAGCATCCACAAAGTTTCTTCCCCTAAAATCTGTACATCACTCAAACACCAATACCAATGTACCAATAAGAAAAAAAAAAAAAAAAAAAAAAAAAAAAAAAAAAAAAAAAAAAAAAAAAAAAAAACCTAACCTAACCTAACCTAACCTAACCTAACCTAACCTAACCTAACCTAACCTAACCGTGAAACAGTGAAAAGTGTAAATCCCTATCACTTTACGCATATATATACCCTGCACTGTGACCTGCTGCGCCCTACGTCGCCACAAAGGCCCCAAACGACATCGTAATCTTCGATTCCCGGCCTTAAAACTGTGGCGTAGGTGTGACGCAGACAGGCCAACTCCGAAGAAAAACACGCAAATATAAGTGAAAGTGACTAGTGTATCAGCAGTAATAATAATTAATTTGAGATTAAAATTCCATATTAACGTAAATATTAAACTAAAATCATATCCAAAACAGTGAATAACAAAATACGCGCGTCATAAAATAGTGCAATAACACGAGTCGCTATAGATCGGAATGCGGTTCAGGTAGTCGACCGGTCACGCACACACCCGTAAACAACGCGCGATCGACCGAGGCACGGCACCGCCCCTGCATTCCGATCACGTCATCTTGCTTTACGAATATACATACATAGACTCACCTAAGTAAAACTTATAAATACACAATAATAATACAACAATTAAAATAAATAAAAGCAAAAGTTATGAACATATAATAATATACCATGAATGAACAAAAATATACTTTACTTAACTAAAACAGAGTGATACCTAGTGACTACATATACTAACAATATTAGTCAAGCGTGGATAAGTGAGTAGAACTGCATAAAGAAATATAACTACATCATATGTGTACGAAATAAGATACTACAAAGTGATACCTAGTGACAAAATATACTAAATATACTATTCAAGCATAAATAGAACTACATAAAGAAACATAGATAATAGTATATGTGCATGAAAATAAAATAAAATAATATGAATGTCATCTAACTTTAATTATATTACATTTCATAAAACTGCGCGGGGATCGAGAAGTAAACAACATTGGAATGTAACAAGAGGCGCCTCAGGTAGCGAAGCAAAGGGGTCACGCACACAACCAAGAAGTATCGCGTGATCGAGCGTACCAGGCACCGCCGCATTCCAATCGACGCCGCGTGCGGACTTCGAAGCAAAACAACATTCCATTGAACTAACGAGCGCTCGAGTGAAGTAAACAAGGTGATTAAGCCGGCTACCTCGAGCCGTTATTCTATAAATATAATTCTGTGGAGTGCAGTTGCAGTTAAATAAATAACAATCGACGTAATAATATACTGTAAAATTAAAACTAACGAAATATTTATTACTCTCAAAAATAGTAATGTGTAACAGTAACCTTAATACAATATAAGAATTTATAGTCGTAGCTTAAACCTTTAGCTTTAATAACAACTTATTTTCTTTCTTCTTGATTACTTATACGTTAACAAATGTATATTAAACTTTACGCACATACTGCGATGTAATACTGGACGGAGTCTTGCGACTATTCTTTACTCATTAAATATCGTGACATAGCTAAACCTGTGATATTCATTAAGTAAATATATAAGACATCCGCCCTATTGGCGTGCTTATTAGAATTAAGTTATACTAAGAAGATCACAGCTTAAGCAGAGATTTACCTACTGACAAATTGTTAAATTGACGACCATATCGACAGTCGACCTTGATGGCGACACCTAGATATTATACTAGGAAAATAAATATATAAGACTTCCGCCCTATTGGCGCTCTTATTAGATTTAAGTATTGTAAATTTAATTTTTTAAATTAATGAGTCAACTGTACTGAATCGTCTGTACGTGTTTTAAAGTTAAAAGTTAACAGCTTTGACTCCTTAAAGTTTTTACTTTGCAAACTGGTGCATACACTTAGGGTCCCTGCGCCGGTCTACAAACTTTTAAATTGAACCTAAAATTTTACAAAGCTATACATTCAGTACAGTGGCACCGACGCAACTACTGGCTGACATAATTTATTTTATTTGAGTTTATCTTGTCCGGTTCATACCGAAATCTATAGCTCATAACAATATATTGTTTTTCGGATATAAACCGCCTTAACCGTAACAATGTTAGGTCTAAGAACACCTATTAAAAAACATACCGCCACAACCACTACACCCCCAGAACACCACACCTCGCTTCACCCACACCCATGCACGAGAGATGTTCCCGATCCCCCTAGAGAGGAAAAAGCTGATGCCGAGGCACCTAGACGATTATCACAGGGTCTGGTACCGGAACTAGCATCGCGGTTCTCGAACATCTCCTCGGCACCAGGTACTATAACTGCGACAGCCTCAGAGGAAAGAAGGAAAACGTTCGTGATAAGGACGAAGGATGCAATAGAAAAGGAGGGGAAGGATGATAGGACTGGGAGCAGATCGGGAACATCATATAAGAGTCGGAATACGGAAGCGGCTGCCGTTCAGCAGAGCGCCCTAAAAAATCTGGATGCAGCTCGAAACCTGAAAACAGAAATAAAAGTTACGGTAACGCAGTGTATAAAAAGGCTGTATACCCTGTATAGGGAGACAGAAAAGGAGCTGGAGAGCGGGAAAGCAAATAACAAAGATAAGGATAAGACAGCTGAAGGTGTTAAAGCAAGAAACTTAGAGAAATCGATTAGTAGTGAGGAACTGATGGAAGAACAAACAGCGGTATTCAAGGATCTTAAGAAAGAGTTAAGAAAAATGGTTGAGGTAAGGGAAGGAATAGAAGAAGCAAGGATAAAATTGGAGCAAACAATTGAAACGGAAAAATCTAAAATTAATAAACAAAAAGAATTAGGAGAAAAGGATAATGAAATTTTTAAAACTAAGCTAATGCAGATAAGAATAATATTAGGAGAACTAAAAAGGACAAAGGAAATAGAAACAGAAGACAGACAGCACATTAAAGACAGTTTATACAACATAAATAAAATTTTAAAAACTAAGACACAGAAACAACCACAGGGAAAGGAAACCAGCCTAGAAAATATTCTGGACAGATTAGAGAAACAAGAAAAAACGGATACTAATCGGCAAGAGGTAATCGAACGAAAGTTCGAGAAACTCGAAACCGAACTGACCACCACCAGGGAAGGGATGTTACAGGCGCTATCCTACGCTGATGTTGCGGCAATCCGTAGCTCAGGTGAAGGAAACCCTCCACTTGCTAACCGAAGCTCGGCTACGTCCCATTCGGTAATAGTAAGTGTAAAGGGTAACCTGGAAACCAGCGACGAGATTGTCGCCAGGATAAGGAAAGCTGTACATGCAAGTGAGACGGGACTACAAATCGACAGGGTCCGCAAGGTGAGGGACCAAAGGGTGGTCGTCGGCTGCAGTACTACTGCCCAGCTAGAACGGGTAACAACCCTTCTAGCCAAAGACCCAACCCTAACGGTTGAGCCTGCCAAATCTAAGGACCCGCTGGTCATCCTGCGGGACCTGAGAGCCGATATCACAGATGATGACATCCTGTCGGCCCTCCCAAAGCAAAACGGACATATTCTCGCCTGCTTTGACGAGGACGACCTGAGAGCCGAAGTCAGGTACCGCAGGAGGGCCAGGAACCAAAACACCACCCATGTCGTCCTGAAAGTCGCGCCAAAAATGTGGAAGGTGCTGGTAGACGCCGGAAAGGTCTACATTGACACGCAGAGGGTAACCGTGTGGGATCAATCTCCTCTCATCCAATGCACGAAATGCCTTGCCCATGGGCACGGAAGACGGCAGTGTACGGAGGAGAGTGAGTTTTGCTCCCACTGTGGCCAAAAAGGACATAGCCATAAAAACTGTCAAGGAAAAGATCAAACCGAACCAACATGCATTAACTGCACCAGAGTGAAACACAGCAACCAAAATGGCCATAATCCCTTCTCAGCCAACTGCCCAGAGAGGATTAGGTGGGATAAAATAGCAAGAGCCGGTACTCTTTATAATTAACTCTGCACAAACACAACACACACACACACACACACACACACACACTTACACTATCGCAAACACAAAACAAAGATACACACAATACAACATAAACATACATACATCTTGAATACACACATACATAAATCACATGCACACAAACTAACAAAATCACAAAATGGACCCTCTTTTGATTTAAAAGAAACTCATTTAATTAACACACAAATACAGGCAACAAAACTTAAACAACTTTTAACATAACATCGTCACTTACCAAACAACATTATTAAATATTGACGGAAAAGTGCGAAATTATGTTAACACACGAAATTGATACACACAAACATACACGCAACACACCCATAATATAAGGATAATATTGTAATAATATTAGAATAATATAATGCACATTATACACAACAAACAAAGCAGGCAACACACAACATAAACAAGAAAGTCTAGAAAGCGAAAAAGTAATAAACTGTGTAATAGACTGTGGGACAGGACAAGATAGACTAAGATAGACTATAAGAAAACCTATAAAAATGTAAACAAAGTCATAATAAAAATAAAAATTATAGATATAAAGCATAAACATAAGTGTAAAATGTTAAATTGGCTAAAGCATTATCAATGTAGAATGTAAAAACATAAACCCTGTAAAACAACACAATCCAAAATAAAGAAACAATGAGCAAAATTTATTTAAGATGATGAATGACTGTGAGAACAATAGAAATGAGGAATATAAATAGCTTAATCCACGGCCCGACATTTAACTATGGTCGGGGAGGTAGGCCAGTAGTCAGGATTATAAAAAAAAAAAAAAAAAAAAAAAAAAACCTAACCTAACCTAACCTAACCTAACCTAACCTAACCTAACCTAACCTAACCTAACCTAACCTAACCTAACCTAACCTAACCTAACCTAACCTAACCTAACCTAACCTAACCTAACCTAACCTAACCTAACCTAACCTAACCTAACCTAACCTAACCTAACCTAACCTAACCTAACCTAACCTAACCTAACCTAACCTAACCTAACCTAACCTAACCTAACCTAACCTAACCTAACCTAATCTAAAGCTCCGAAAGAGCTAGTGAAGGCCAACCTAACGGTACCCCACACCCCCCTTTTTTGACCACCCCCCCTCCCCAAATCAACCCTCTACCCCCTACCGTTCCCGAATCTGGACTGTGATATTAGATATAAGACTGTAGTGTAATTGATTGTACATTAGTAAGCTAAGACCTAATTTAGCTAATTTTCTCTGTTTTTACTATATAACTTATATTTTTAATCTTTGACAAAATTTTAAAATTGACATAAAATTATTTATTGTTTTGAAAATCTTTTAACTTGACAGGAGAAAGTTAGCACAAAGCCTAAATTGTAATTATTAAATCTACATTAAATATTAAAATATATATCTTAACACTAGTTTATACCTAAAAATAACTTAATATGTGACGAGCTGTAGGCGCTTACTGTAATAAATAAATTTAACCTTACTCTACAGTACTGTTGACCGGGTTGCCTCCTTTTGGTGACAGCCCTTAGTATATAAGCTTTTATTGTATCGACCTAGGCCCTTATTGGCATTTAAGATAGAATGTAAGGACTCGCCCTATTGGCAATAAAAATTTTATATACTTTACTTTTAGACTTTTATACCTTTGACGCCACTACTGGCCAAATATTAATTCAAATATTAAATATAAATTCAGCGTATTTCTTCCATTCCATAGCGTAGGAGCTAGTAATCTCTGCCTGACGTCATGTTTGGTCTCAGAACCCCCGTAAAAAAGTTGAACCCCATTGTCAATACATCTCCAAAACGGGACACTACACCTGACAAAATATTACAAATAAGTGCTCCCGAGCGCCCGAAAGAAGATGCTCATTGCGTCAACGCCCCCAAGCGCTTATCTCAGGGACTAGTGCCGGAACTGGCATCAAGGTTCTCTGGAAACGCGACGGCCCCGGCGCCTTCAACGGCGACAGCTCCCGAAGAGAGAAGAAAGAAGTTTGTGGTGCGGACTCGGGATACTATGGAGAAGGAAGGGAAGGAGGACAAAGTAGGGAGTAAGTCAGGGACAACGTATAAAGGACAAAGTACAGAGGCAGCCGCAATTCAACAGAGCGCCCTCAAAAATCTGGATGCTGCGCGTAACCTCAAGACTGAAATAAAAATCACGGTCACGCAATGCATTAAAAGGCTATTCACTTTATAC